CTCCCCCGAGTTACGTCTTCCGCCATTTTGGAGAGTACCCAAGAGCGTAATTGACATAATCAGCGTTGTTTACGCTTAGGGGAAAGCGCGTGTATGCATTGTGATACTCTCTAAAATGGCGGAAGACGTAACTCAGGGTAGAAGAATTGTTGAATAAATTGTTATTTTTGTTTTCTTTGCGCTCAAAAAAGTATTCTCGTAGCTTCGCAAAATGAAGTTGAGCCACTGATTCCCCGAACGTAAACAACGCTGATTACGTCGATTACGCTCTTGGGTACTCTCCAAAATGGCGGAAGACTTAACTCGGGGGAGAAGAATTTTTAAATACATTTTTATTTGTTTTCTTTGCGCTCAAAAAGTATTCTCGTAGCTTCGCAAAACTGAAGTTGAGCCACTGATGTCACATGGACTGTTTTACCGATGTCCTTACTACGTTTCTGGACCTGGGAACATTACAGTTGCGTTGCTGTCTATGCAGGGTCTGAGAGCTCTCACATTTCATCAAAAATATCTTAATTTGTGTTCTGAAGATGAACGAAAGTCTTAAGGGTTTGGAACGACATGAGGGTGAGTAATTAATGACAGAATTTTCATTTTTGGGTGAACTATCCCTTTAATGTTTGCTTTCTAGCGGAAGTTTTACTTTTTGTTTGCACCTGGTTTAACTTATTCAAGGCTTAATATTTGGGCTTAGCTGCATTTCCGTCAAAGTGGCCACATCTGTTCTTGTTTTGGAGAGGCAAAGAACTTTGTGGCCTGTTTCTCTCGCTTTCTATGTGTGTATGTGTGTCTGGGGTGTTTACATCTGGGCTGTTAAGAGGTCATCCCCATGGGCCATTCCATGCTGGAAAACAAAGCGTAACAGGCAATAGAAGTGGCACAGTGTCTCTATGTAGTCATCAAATATGACATCCCAGGATCCTTCAAGCTTCCTGCTGTCACTGAAGCATAATGGACAGTATTTGTGGAGGATTTCACACCATATGAGGTTTTCATCCTCATGAATGAATTATAGACATTCATTCTTTCACTTTCATGGTGCGCTGTGTATGGCTGGCAGAAAGCCTTTGAGAGCTGAACCCACTGACACCACCTGTTTTTCTATTATATTTACAGCATAAACAACAATATATCAGCATGACAGGAAAGTGTTCTCCTCTTTCCTCTCTTGACTGTGAAGGATATTGTTCTTTGAGACAGCGGTGAGATTTAGATGTCAAATATCCTGTCAGTTTCACGGATATTTGAAATGATGTCATGGCAGCTTGAGTATACTTCAGATTTCTGTGAAAAGGATAATACATGTAAACTGTATCACTTGAGCAAGAGTGCTGTTTTGCATAATATTGTGTGATTACCTTTGCCTATGGTCGAATCACAGTATAATAGTTCCTGTATTAAATGAAGGCCCGCCTTCTGAAACACGAAATGTGCTGTGATTGGTTAGCTGGGCCAGTGTGTGCTGTGATTGGTTAGCTGGGCCAGTGTGTGCTGTGATTGGTTAGCTGGGCCAGTGTGTGCTGTGATTGGTTAGCTGGGCCAGTGTGTGCTGTGATTGGTTAGCTGGGCCAGTGTGTGTTGTGATTGGCAGCACTCTGCGCCTGGTTGGGAAATGGCATGCCCCTTATCATAGCCGCCTGCTGCGAGCTTCAGTGTAAATATTGCATCAAAATCAAATCAATTTGAGCATGATTTAAACCCGGATGATTGTAACCATTCTAAGTTAGTCTGCCTTTGGAAAGCTAGCGTGTCTCCGACATAGTGATAACCAGTGGTGTAATTTAACAAAGTAATAATACTTCGCTACAGTACTTAAGTATTTTTTGGGAGTATCTGTACTTTACTTGAGTTTTTATATTTCAGCCAACTTTTACTTTTACTTCACTACATTTCCTAATTAAAATGTATACTTTTACTCCGATACATTTCCCCGAAGCATATTCGTTACTTACTACAAAATAGTCAGAAGTCAGAAGAACACGGACTGCAGGAAAGCAGGTTTGACCACTGATATACACATATATCTATACACACACACACACACACACACATATGCGTATATATACTGTATATATATATATATACAGGTGCATCTCAATAAATTAGAACGTCG